GTGTCAGGGTTTGGGGACAAAGCCTATGGGAGTGTGGTTATCAGCTGGCAGGCACCTGTTGTATGGATTTATGACACAGTTAGGGACTTTAGCTTGTCTCCAGTGACACGCTGAGACTCATTCTTTGTGCATCACAGACGACAGAGTCTGTTTTAGGAACTGAAATAAGTAGCAAAATAATAAGTTAAAATCAGAAATAAAAGTAAAATTAAATAGTAAAATAAGTAATAAGTGAAATTGAAGTGAAAAATTGTCAGTTTAAGTTAATTTCACATTCAGTAAGCTGCAGCTATTGGTATTAAAAGTATTAACATTTATTTCCCACATAGTAAGGTGCTAGAGGAGTTTATGTGGCATGTGATGAATGAATATATGTTGGGTCTTTTCATTCCTTAGATAAAATACAGAGTTCAATTGTGCAAGGTCAGTTTTAATAAAAAGAATGACAGTAAACGGCAGCGTAGTTCCTCAGATCCCTGCACCTCTCCTGCATGAGAAGTAGTGCCTAAGATTTTACAAATTCCAAAATGCAGTAGGATTCATATGCGCAAAAATCAGAAGTTATGTAGCATTTAATTTATTCAGCATTAAGCTTTATACACTTAACTTCCTATTCTCTAGCAAGATATCTACTTAGAAAGCCCAGATTTAGAGTGAAAGCTAAGCATCTAAAACAATTACCTTAGAGCATGTCACTGTCTCACAAAGCCAAGTTTCTCGGTACTGTCTCTGAATTTTATTCCAAACAAAATCTCAAAGCCGCAGACATATGAAATCCTGGCAAACTTGTTCAGCTGTGTGTCACCTGAAACCCTTGATTAACCAGTAACCTGGCACCTTCATCTTTCCGGAACATAAGCACCAACCCAATAATAAGTTTTATAAATTTGTAAGGAGAGATGAAGTTGCCTGTTCCTAAGACCGTCCAAGCTGTTTCATAATGCAGTGGAAGGGTTAAACGGGCCTGGAGTCATCAGTAACCCCTGGAGGTGTCATCGAGATAAATACAAATCCCAGCGATTCACATTCATGGGTAATCGTTTAAAGCCTTTACACAGTGTTTAAGAATAGAAGTGTGCAGAACATTTCAGAAAGGGCGTTATTAAAAACAATTCCTTTTTTTGTAATATAAGAAGAAGACTCAGCACTGAAAGAGTTATGTTACATTTGTGCAGGACATTGATATTGCCTGAGAAGTGAAGCACTACTGAATTTCTTTCAGCGGGGACGTTAGAGTGTCTTAATTCATTTAGTAGGTGTTTCTGTAACAGTTAAGCAAAATGGGCTGGGTCATGTGTTGCCATCGGGACAGACCAAGTGAACAGACACAAAAGTAGACATATATAGGATATGAGGTTATGGAAAGCACTGTGGAGAAAAATTAATCAGAATAAAGGGCCCAGAGCATGCTGCGGTTTGCACTAGGGCTCACTGTTTTATACAGAGTGTGAAGGGAAGGCCTCCTTGACTCAGTATTCTTAAAACATGTAATATTTAGAAGTGTGATGTTTTCTGGAATATTTAAGGAGAGGATTAGAATCAGATCTCACAATTAGCTAAAAAGTGTCAAAAAATTTAGAGAAATAGAGAAACTGTGTGTAGTGATGTCTTCTTGGATATAGGGGAAAGAGATAGGAATAAAATACTCAGAACTGTCGACTAAAATTCATTTGTTGAGCACAAGAGTTACTAAAGAGGTCAGGTGTTATTAGTCACAAGTCAAAACTGAAGTATGTGCTTTGTGTAAGCTGAAAACTGTTATGAATAAAAAAGGAATAAAACAAGCAGGAGTCACAAATTAGCCACTCTAGTCCTAAAAATCACAGATTTCTTCAATCCTCATTGTGTTGCAGACACTACTTGGAACTTGGAGACTAGGATGAATTTCACCAGCACCTGTCCCAAGGAGGTCAGACAGTTAGAAGAAGCACACACAGGCATGCGGATAAATAATTACAATTACTGTGGGGCACCCAAGTGGCTCAGTTGGTTAAGTGTCGGACTCTTGGTTTCCACTCAGGTCACGATCTCAAGGTTTTGTGGGTTTGGGGCTCCTGGGTGGCTCAGTCGGTTAAGCGTCCGACTTCGGCTCAGATCATGATCTCACGGAGCCCTGCATTGGGCTCTGTGTTGACAGCTCAGAGCCTGGAGCCTGCTTCAGATTCTGTGTCTCCCTCTCTGCACCCCCACCCCCCCCCCCCGGCTTTGTTCAGAAAATGCTGAGAAGTTGGGTGTGCCTGGATGTTTCTGTATAGAAGGCTGGAGATGTTAGGATGAAGAAGGAATGGCTTGGTAGAGCCTGACAAGAAGTACAAGAAGTTTGGAATAAAATCTGGCCCGTGATGGAGCCACAATGTAAATGAGAAGGAAGAGAGAAGTGTGGCACAAAGATGTTTTCCTGTAATAATTAGTTGAAAGATCAGAAATGTTTTATGTGTTAGTGCAAGTGATCAAATGCTATTCTAGTCTTATCTGTTACATTCTATGAGAAATGTTCCAAGTAACAGAACATAAACACAAGAGCTTAAAAAAATCTTTAAATATCTTTAAAGGCAATAAAACCAAGGGTTGGCAATAGTAAAAGTATGAATGGCCACTCTGACTCCCCGACAAAAATCAGTATAATGTTGTACAATTATTAAATTTGTACAATTAAGCAAGATGAGGGGGTGTCTGCTAACGTGCAAAACCGCAGAGGAATCTGTGAGTGAATCACACCCAGATGAGAGGCTGGAGTCGGCGCCGGAGAGGCTTCAGGAAGGAGGTGGTTAAGGGAGCCTGCGAGGAGTGGAAGATGTGAGCAGAAGAATGATGGGCCATCATTTTAGGCCAGAGGACAGAGGGGACAGGAGGAGTGGCTGAGGCTGGCAAATCCATGGGGCAGCGGGCTCTTGGCTGGATCTGGGAGTGAGCGAGTGCATCAGGGATAAGACAGGGTAGGTCAGGGCCAAACTGGAAATCCGCAAGGAAGGCCTGCCTTGACGCCTGCGGCAGCTGGCGGGAACCAGGCAGAGGGGAGCCAGCCGCAAGGGGACTTCGGGCGGATTACCTGGAGTCCGGCAGGGGGCGCGTGGGGGCTGGATGTGAGCATGCGCGGTGTGGCGGGGGGACCAGCGAGCTAACTTTTGTGGAACGATGCAATCGATGCGCCACAGCGTGCCGCGCGCCTGCGTGGGTCATCTCCCTTCATTCTCACGCCGGACGCAGGCATTAATTAATATTACCTTCCCCTGACTCTCCACATGAGGAAGCAGAGGTCTAGGGAAGAAATTTGCTGAAAGTCAGACAGCAGATGAAAAACGAAGTAGGCCTTACACTTCAGGCCCCAGCCGTGGGCTCTCCTCGCGAAGACGGCACCGTGTGCAGGAGATGGTAGGCATGATACGTTCCTAAGGACAAAATGGATGAACTTCCTGCCCTCTGATCTATTTATATTTGTAAAAATTAACCAAAACATGGAAAGGTCCATAGTCCTGTCCATGTAACACACGAAGGAAGTCCACATCTGTGATGCTTCATTTTACGTAGCTACGACATTCACAGCTTCAACGCCTGGTGTTTCTGTCTTTAGGTGTTGTAAGTTTTCCACTAAGAATGTCACATTTATTGTTCAATGGCCCAATAGTATCTCATTGATTTGATGCACCCCAAAAACTCAAAAGTTGTTTTGGTTTGGGTGCCTATTATAGAAAATATTGAAATGAAGGATTCCTTACAAATATCTTTTTGCTTCTCTTGAAGCAAAAATTCACAGAAGGACTTACAAGATCAAACGGTACGAACCGAACAGCTTTTTGTCTCTTGCCTGCATTTTGCCATGTAGCTGCCTGAAAGGCTCGTGCTAATTTACAATTCAAACAGCAATAAACAGCAAAACCAATTTCCCTATATAATCTCTGCTGCACTGGGTAGTCTCTCTTTCATCTTCAGTACATGTTGGTTGATAACTCAAAGTCACTGCAACTTTTCTTCTTAAAAATTTCTGGCAGAGATGGACGTTTTTTCATGTGCTTGTTCAGTCACTATGTTTCTCCTTGTGCAGATTTTTTGCCCTCCGTCTATTGAAATCATGTTTTCCTGTTTCGTTTCTCCTTCTCTAGAGTAGCTCTCTCTACGTGAACTCAGAAAAGAAGAAATTAGAATTAAAATGGTGCCTCTAGCTGTGTTTGTTACTTGGGCTCTTTTCCACCGTCTTCCAGAAAGACTTAAAAGAAATTACCAATGCCTTTGTTTATAAACTTCACTTTACTCTGAAATAATTGGTGTAGATCAAAGGAAATGGAAGGATACTGCAGAGTGATCAGCTGATAACCATTTCTCCTTTCATTTTCCTTGCCTAGCAGCTTTCACATTAGAGAGATCACACACAGTTTGTTTTCTCCTGATAGGCAGCCAGCTCCATTTTGGTGGGGAGGTGGGAGGAGAGAGCCTTATCTTGAGAACAGAATGGAATCAATGAAAAGAGCTGTCTGTTTGCTCTAAAGAATGGAGTGGAGTATAGTGGGGAAGGGAGGCGGAGAAGGGATATTTGTTTTTTCTTAAGTGGTTATAATTAAAGCCTTCCATCCAAGTGCTCGGTGAACCAGAAAAAGGTATTTGTGAAGTTGTATGTGTGTTTTTAACATCCAAATGAGCCTTGAAGCCTTCTTTATAGAAGAAAACTTGCTCTCCAGCGGCACCTTGTGGAACGTGGGTCGTCCTGCAACTTGGATAGTTGTACGTTTAAAGAAAAATGCTGCTAGTAGTTGTGTGGTTCTTTCCCATTACCCACGTTGCCTTCTAAAGATCAAGGGATTTTGTGAAGGAGGTCAGCTATTGAATGTCTGTACAACAATCGCTGAACAGTAAGCTGTTCTCCAGGTATGGATTATGGAGTTGCATGTCAAACCAAGTGGCTACAATGATTCTTAATGTTGTATCATCCAAATACTCTGTGGAAATTTTAGGGCCATTCATTCAAGAAAGCACTAATTTGGGGGCTCTACATTTTTGTTTTCTAGGCGGAAACAAATTAACCAAACAGCATTTTCGTCTGAATTGGGCATGGATCTCGTTTGAAAAGGAATATTACCTGATCAATGAGGATTCCAAATTTCTAGATGTCGTTCTTAAACGCAGAGGTTACTTGGGAGAGACTTCATTTATAAGTAAGTTTAATCGACATTACTGTTCCACAATCCCCCTTTGTTCCTAGCAAATGTCCATAATTTTACAATGATTAAAATATTTTTAGTTTACTGCTCTAGTTTTAAAGTTTAAGGAGATGTTGACATTTAAAGGTTCTTTGAGTGCTTCAGAAACATGCCAAGAGTTTTGTGTCAAAGCTAAATCATAGAGACAAAAGGCTATAAAAATAGGAAATGTGTAACCGAATATGTATATATACCTCTTCAAACCTTCTACCTACATATGATCATTCTCTGATATAAATAACTTCATAAAAATGGCGGTAATCGCTCATTGGTTAAGATTTTTTATATGTCAATAGACCTTAGAAGAGGTTTAGGGGAATGTGTAATCTAACCATAATATAAAACTCTGCAGAAATGCCAGTGTAAAACATATAGGAGGGCAACTTTAATAATAAGGGGTGAAAAACTATTCAGTAATCTATTAGACATTGACATGTAATTTACTGTTTGTTGCATTTGAATGCTCTGGTAGGTCACAAAAGTCCAAGAACCCCAACTCTACATAAAAGCTCTACTTAAAAGATGCACATTGTGACTTTTCTTCAGAACCAATGCTCAGGCGTTAAATACTAATCATTTTCTGCTGCTTTACTCTTTTAAATAAAACTGAAAGTCAAAAGCAAAGACTAAAGCCTTTTTACAAGTCCAGTTCAAGCTAACATATAACATCTAGGCTGATAGAATTTTCATGAGGTAAAAGAGCTTTCACTGAGTGAGAATATCAGCTAAGATAGGAATCTAGGAAAATGTTGGCAATAAAAAATAAAAGCTTGCTAATCCTGTGTTTGTCTGCAAAACAATTACTTGAAATTTTACTGGCCCATGAAATTCAAAAAGCATTAAAGAGTAGATCCCTATACACACACACACACACACACACACACACACGTACCACACACAATACCTTTGCCACAGCCACAATCTGCCCCCACCCGACTCCTCCCTGATATTTGGATGCTGGGTATTAATTACTCCTTATTTTTAAAGTGCTTTTTGTTTTGGGGGCACCTGGGTGGCTCTGTCGGTTGAGTGTCTGGCTTCAGGTCATGATCTCATGGGCCGTGAGTTTGAGCCCCGTATTCAACTCTCTGCTATCACCGCAGAGCCCACTTTGGATCCTCTGTCTCCCTCTCTGTGCCCCTCCCCTGCTCATACTCTCTCTCTCTCTCTGTCTCTCAAAAATAAATAAACATTAAAAAAAAATTTTAAGTGCTTTTTGTTTTTTAAGCATGTAAGAGGGATTTAAGCATGTAAGAGGGTCACTCTCTGCTGACCCCATCAGGTTATTGGCTCCAGGGTAGCTGGTCCACCTGCGGACCTTGTGCTGCTCTGCTTCCGTCTTTTTTTTTTTTTTTTTTTTTTTTTTGACAGAGAGAGAGAGAGAGAGAGAGCGAGCATAGTGGGGGAGGGGCAGAGAGAGAGGGAGGCACAGAATCCGAAACAGGCTCCAGGCTCAGCTGTCAGCACAGAGCCCGACATGGGGCTCGAACTCACAGATCGTGAGATCATGACCTGAGCCGAAGTCAGATGCTCAAACGACTGAGCCACCCAGGCGCCACCCCCCCCCTTTTTTTTTCATGTTTTGCTCTGCTTCCGTCTTGATTTGCACATGCCTCCTCTTGGCTGCCATTTACAGTCTCTTTGTCTAACCTTCTAAAGCATAGTGAATGCTCTTGGTGCTCTCTCTCTTTGGAAGCATGTTTTCTTTGCACACACACACGTGCTCTGCAGACCAGGAATCTGATCCTGTCTTCCTTATTGTCCGTGAGAGATTAGCCTTAACCGGACTTTGTGCTTGAAAGTATGCAGGAAATAATAACTGAGACACAGAGAACCTCAGCAATTCTTAAGGATGCCTTTATCTATTTGCATTTTGCCGGAGTTCCTGGTGGGTATGTTTAATTACTCACTTCCACTGAAAGTAATGGGAAAGTTAATGGTTGAGAGATATTTTTAAAGCTATCTTTTCGCATTTTTCTCTTCATTTTCTTTTTTAAAGCCGAATCCTGAAACGTCAAACAGGGGCTCTTTTTTTCTCCTAGCATTATTTTTTCAGCGAACTACGATTTCCTGCATGTGGAGATGAGCACCAGCCATTCTACAAAGGTTCTTAGCTCTACTTGGTTAACCTCGCACGTTACTTAGTAACCTGGGGAGATAGGAAGTTGGAAAGACTTCTGTGTGTGGCCCACACCCATCAATCATTGAAGAGATAATAGACTTCAAGCTGGGAGGGAGAATGGAAGTCAGATTAAAGAGGAGGGAAGCCTGGAAGAAGTTCTGCAATGAATGTGTTTCATGTTACTGTTTCCTGAAACCTCCACTGTCACTTACAAGCTTCTAGAATTAGATCGTTTGCATGATATCTAGAGGCAGACTATCACTTAAGTTCAGGAGCATAGTTAGGAGGCCATGGATCACATGAAATTTATGTAAGTGTTTTCTCAGAGATGATTATTAATTTTATAACCAGTATAATCCATTAACAAATTAAATATGTGCTTGCATTTCATAAGAGTGTTGGCATTTCAAAGATCTTACTGCTACCAGCTATTGTGAATTTACTAAATAAAAGATACTTCGTTAGGCACACTAAGTACGTTACCTTAGTCTTTTTCTCCTTACGACTTACTTCACTCGCTAATTCAACCTCACATTTTCTTGAGTGGCTTACTCAGTGCCGGCCACTGTGTTACATACTGGACTATGAAGTGACAATAATGATGGCTAAAATGTATTGAGTTCTTCTTATGTGCCAGCCCCAGTTCCCAATACCTTACATCGTCAACCCTGTGAGAGGAGTGTCATTATATCCCCCATGATGCAGGTAAAGAAACAGAGAGGTTGTCATCCTCCCAAAGCTACTAAGGAGCAGAGCTGAGATTTGACCCCAGGGGTAACTTTCCTAACTACCACACTATGGTGCTTCTGAAATCCCCCATAACAGAGGAAGTTCATAACCTGCCTGTGGTCCCATGGCCACTACGTGGCCAAAGTAGGATATCATCTGTTCTCTCATTCCAAAAGTGCCTTGCTTACCCTCCATGCCATTTTTCCACACCAGAGGAAGAGCTGCAATTGTGGTTTTGCTTAGTAAATCAAAGGAATATGGTTTGTCTAATAATTAGTTCTCTTTGAAAAAATAAAAGCATAAACTTAAGCCCAATTTATAAGCTTTTTGATTTCTAGAATTCTTTTTGCCCCATCTAATAATGTTATTTATAATAGGTATGATTTACCAGCTGAATATTTGTATCTCCAATTAAGAGCATGTTTTGAACGTTGTGTGTACTTTGCTCTCTCATCTACCATGTTAGATTAAAGCGTGGACTATTCTGTGTCCTCCACAGTCTACACACCATTTCTTCATCCTTTGTTAAAATGGGCACCTAGGGGGCACCTGGGTGGTTCTGTTGGTTAAGCGTCCAACTTCAGCTCAGGTCATGATCTCGTGGTTCTTGAGTTCAAGCTCCACGTCGGGCTCTGTGCTGACAGCTCAGAGCCTAGATCCTGCTTCAATTCTGTGTCTCCCTCTCTCTCTCTGCCCCTCCCCACTCACACTCTGTCTCTCTCCCTCTCTCAAAAATAAATAACCATTAAAAAAAAATTTTTTTAGGGGTGCCTGGGTGGCTCACTCGGTTAAGCGTCCAACTTCGGCTCAGGTCATGATCTCACAGTCCATGAGTTCAAGCCCCGTGTCAGGCTCTGTGCTGACAGCTCAGAGCCTGGAGCCTGCTTCAGATTCTGTGTCTCCCTCTCTCTCTGCCCCTCCCCTGCTCATGCTCTGTCTCTCTCTGTCTCAAAAATAAAAACATTAAAAAATTTTTTTCTTTAATTTTTTTAAAAAATGGGCACCTATGTAAAGGGCCCTGTGGAGGTATGAAATATTTAGTATGTGTCCACCTACCCTCAGGTTTAATGCATCTAAGATTTACCTGGATGCTGCTAAAATGTTGATTCTGATTCAGTGGGTCTGGGGTAAGGCCTGGAATCCTGCATTTCTAACAAGCTTTCAGATGTTGTTTATGCTGCTGGTCCATGGATAGTAAGTAACTGTATCCTGTAGCAGGATAGACTAACACTACACTCAGAGTAGGTACTGTGTGTTAATTATAAAAAGGAAATCTTTATTTTTTTATTTTTTTTATTATTTTTTTTTCAACGTTTATTATTTTTGGGACAGAGAGAGACAGAGCATGAACGGGGGAGGGGCAGAGAGAGAGAGGGAGACACAGAATCGGAAACAGGCTCCAGGCTCTGAGCCAGCAGCCCAGAGCCTGACGTGGGGCTCGAACTCCCGGACCGCGAGATCGTGACCTGGCTGAAGTCGGACGCTTAACCGACTGCGCCACCCAGGCGCCCCGGAAATCTTTATTTTTGACCCAAAGCAAGTTTAGTATTCCATCTAAGTCTTATTTTACCCTCTAAAAATATGACACGTCCGTCTTAATTTTACCTCATGTTTGAGAGGCGTAAGTCTTTTTTCACAAAATAGAAGTCCATTCCTCTTCGCTTGGCAAATCAACGATCTTGCCTATTTATAATTTACATCCAATCAGGAATATTTTACAAAGTCCATCTAAAAAAATTATATGCGTTTTTAGCAGCAACCATGAAACTTGGCATGACCGTCTACATTTTATCAGGTTGGATAACTTGATTATCACTTAGTAAGGATGACTAGTTGGAACTAATAGACATTCTTTGTATTATACTCATTCCTTTTTTTAAATATTCTTTTATTTACTTTTGAGAGAGAGAGTGCACATGGGAGAGGGACAGAGAGAGAAGGAGAGAGAGAATCCTAAGCAGGCTCCACACTATCAGTGCGGAGGTCGATGCGGGGCTTGAACCCACGAACAGCGAGATCACGACCTGAGCTGAAATCAAGAGTCCGAAGAGTCGGACGCTTAACCGACTGAGCGGCCCTATACCCATTCCTTTTTGTTTTTAAACTGCCTTTTGAATCTCTAAGAAAATAATGCATTGCTGGTGAAACAAAACAAAAGTGGTTATCAGAGAGCAAATAGCAAATTCTTCTGCTGGCCCGTGCCACTGTGGATAGATGGGTCAATGAGCAGCATGTGTGCTGGAACCTCATAGAGAATGATTCCTCTCATCATCCATTACCTTGGCAGTGAATCATGGCGGACCCAAGAGGTGTTGACAACCTGTCTGTGTGCATGAGGAACCAAAGAGCTAATGGGAAGTCTGCAACATTCAACAGGAAACATAGTGCTGGAATGCCTGGTTCTGTGCCCTTTTTCCTCCTGATATTAAAAAATCATGTTTTACCTACTATTGAAAAACAATGAGATATTTTTATCTCAGTTGCTTCTGAGAGCTATAAGACAAAAATATTTTATTAAAAAAATTTTTTTAACATTTATTTATCTTTGAGAGACAGAGAGAAACAAAGCAGGGGAGGGGCAGAGAGAGGGAGACACAGAATCTGAAGCAGGCTCCAGGCTCTGAACTGTCAGCACAGAGCCCGATGCAGGGCTCAAACCCAGGAACCGTGAGATCATGACCTGAACTAAAGTCAGACACTTAACCGACTGAGCCACCCAGGGGCCCCAAGACAAAAATATTTTAATGAAATATTTATTTTCGTTGTCATTTTAAGATGAAACTAACAGTCAGATGAAAATATTCAGATTCATCTGACGTAAGCACCATTATTTAAAAATAAGGTAATTTTTTCAATTAAATAAGAAATGCTACAAACACTTTATTTTCAGGCTTTATTCTAATAATCACAAGATTTTATTTCCCCCCTTTTAAAGCTGTCTTTCCTACAAATTTTTTCTCAAAATGCCAATATTTAAAGAAATTTACTTGAAAATTATTCTTTTTAATGTTTTTTGAGAGAGAGAGAGACAGACAGAGCATGAACAGGGGGCAGGGGGGAAACAGAGAAGGAGACACAGAATCTGAAGGAGACTCCAGACTCCAAGCTATCGGTGCAGAGACCGACACGAGGCTCAAACTCACAACCATGAGATCATGACCTGAGCCAAAGACACACGCTTAACTGACTGAGCCACCCAGATGCCCCTATCTGAAAATTATTCTATCAACATGGCTCACTAAGAGGTTTGGATTCAGCACTTAAGGATATACTAGTACAAGTACAAAGTAGAACAAGTACTAACTGCAATTTACAATTTTTCGATGACATTGGATTTGTTAACTGTTGACTGTTTATAGATAACCTGTGACTTGAGAACATGGTATAGTGATGGTGAAGATCCTTTTGTAATGTAGTGAGAGACTCAGAAGTCCTTCAGCCTTCCCAGCTAACTGCAATTGACCTTGAGTTGAACCATCAGAGTGAGCCCGACATACTGCTCATAGCAATCACATATATTTAGCTCTCCAATTCTGTTCACATGGTTTCATGGAATTCTGAAGTGTTACATACACACACACACACACACACACACACACACACACACAAACCTGGATGTGGTCATATTGACAATCACTGAATTATATTCTTTTAAGGATCTTAGTCCCAGTAAATGTGGAGAGAATATTGTAATTTTTTTTTATTATTGGCCATTTACAACTTTGATTATCAAAGAATTCTTGACTCACAGAGTTCCTTATTTTCTAGTTAGAGAATTTTTCTTATGTTTTTATCATATGGCACATGCAGTATAACACATGTAAAAGTAAAAGTGAAGAGTTTTGGGGGGCACCTGGGTGCCTCAGTAGGTTAAGCCTCTGACTTTGGTTCAGGCCATGATCTTGCAGTTCATGAGTTCGAGCCCCGCATCGGGCTCTGTGCGGACAGCTCAGAGCCTGGAGCCTGCTTCGGATTCTGTGTCTCCCTCTCTCTTTCTGCCTCTCCCCCACTCATGCTCTGTCTGTCTGTCTCTCTCTCAAAAATAAACAAACATTAAAAAAAAATTAAAAAGTGAAGAGCTTTTAAGACTGAATGAACTGTAGGAATAAGAATATTTGCAACATGAATATTAATTTACTGAGTCTTGCTTTACAAGAGGTTCTAACACAAACACAGTTCAAAGAATATATAGCAAAGCCATCATGAGGTAAGAATAGAACAGAATCATGAACCCCCAATACCTACAGTAGAACCCTTTTACTGTGGCACCTGTACCCCAGTCGTCCAGCTCATGGAATCAAAGCTGGACGTAGTGGCAGGCAGAATAAATAACACACAAAAGGTGAACGACAAGGCAAACTTTAAAAATCCAATTAAAAATGAAGCTAAGAAAATGATACCATGTTTTTGTGCAGGTATCGGCACAAGAGATGGGACTGCAGAAAAAGACAAAGACTTCAAGGGCAAAGCACAGAAACAAGTGCAGTTCAACCCAGGCCAGACCAGGGCCACCTGGAGAGTGCGGATCATGAGCGATGGAGAACACGAGCAGTCGGAGACCTTCCAGGTGGTTCTCTCAGAGCCTGTGCTGGCTGCTCTGGAATTCCCTGCGGTGACCACGGTGGAGATTGTTGACCCTGGAGATGGTGAGAGCTGTCGACTTGTTTGTCTCGTCGCTGTTGGGTTTTTAATGACAAAATACCTTACAAAGGAAGTTTTAAATTCAGTGTTTGGACTTTCTATGGGGAGAATGTTCTAGACTAATAGTTTCATATTCTCACGTATGCTGATGGGAGAGGGAAGCCAAAAACTAAGAAGGGAAGCTATATCATTTCAAGTAAATGAACTACATAAGCTCATATGAATTATCAGCATGTTCTTTCTCTTACTGTAATTTTGTTCTTTGGAATCAATATTGCTCATCTCATTTTTCTTGAATTAATTCATTACTTTTTAAAGTCTTTTAAATGTCTTTTAAAGTGTCCTTTAAACAAAGAGTTTAAGAATCAGACCGTTTGGGATTAATTTGTTCCCCATGTTACACTTGATTGTTCAAGTGTTAGAATTTTTATCAGCCAACAGTTTTCACTTGCCTGTGCGCCTCCACATTTGTTACATAAAACCCACCAGACCTATCCCCACTCTTTGGCGAATCGTGTCTTAAATCACTCCTCTTAATTTCTATTAGATTATGCTTTTTTGTCAGTGCACACCTTTGGCTGATGTTGGTAAAAGTGAACCTCACTGCTTTCATGTGTAATTTGACCTATTCCCTCCCCCTTGCCATCGTTCTAAGTGCTAGCTTGTCTCGTGCACTCAGGAAAGAAAAAAAAAAGAAAAAGAAAAAAAGAAAAAGAAAATGAAAGAAAGAAAGAAAAAGGTTGAATGGCTTTCTGAGGGCTGGCATTTATTCAAAGGTTGGAGAGAGTCTTCTAAAGCTGAAATCCTGTCAGAAGCCAGACGTGACTTTCTTTTTAACTGCCAGCCTACTTTATTTTGTCAGTCAGAAAACTCTTAAATTTTCTCTGAAGATACAATCTACTGAGTACCTGAAATGGAGACCTGTGTGGAAATCTCTGGGTTAAAAGACTGAACCTAATTAGAGAGAGAGCATAAGAGAACTGGGCTCGGGGTCTGTTTGTTTAACATCTCTCTTTTAGTTAAATATGAAGTTCAATTATGCTTCTAATTCCTTTAAAGAACAGTTGGCATTTAATTACATTTAGTTTTATCTGCATTATCTAGGAATGAATAATTAAAGTTTCTTCGAGTCTTAAGTCTTGAATAAGTGGTAGCATAATAAAGCTTCTCTCTTTTGAACCAGCCATGGCAGCTTTAATACACATGAACTGGCCCATCAGTTAGAGTTTGTTTGAAGCCATTTCTTTCTCTCTTCATTTTTTTTAAGTAAGCTCTAGGTGCAGTGTGGGGCTTGAACTCACAACCCTGAAACCAAGAGTCACATGTTCTACCCTCTAAGCCAGCCAGGCACCCCTGAAGCCATTTTTTGATACTTTATTTGCCAGTTGGTATAATTGTCATTGTTTACCTTAAGGAATAAGTCACTTAAACTCATCCGTCCCTTTCTATTTCTCAGAATAGGGTAACACTCTATACTCTGTACTCATAGTAGATCTGAGAAGTGGAATATTAAAATACGTACATACAACACACACACACACGCACACGCGCACACACACACACACACACACACACACAACTTTGCCATAATGTCATTTAATGTAATGGTCATCAAAGTTGTTATAGAATTTTCTAGATGACATTCAGCCCTAGTCATCCCAGGCCATGATCATTCCTATGATAACTGACAAGCGTCTCATAATGCCTGGTATATTCCATGTCTTGTTGAAGACCATTGGTCTTAAAGTTATAAGATCTGAGTTTGATTCCCAATTCTACCATTTCTAGTTTTATGACCTTAATCAAATCAAACACCTTTTCTTAAGATTTAGTTTCCTAATGCACAAAATAAGAAAAAATTAATGAGTCTCATGTTGCATCATTCATGTGAAAGAATTCTATAAAACATAAAGCACAATACTACTGTTGTTATTTCTAGTGTCACAAATAACATTGTTAGATTTCATTTTAAGAGATTAAAGAGCTCTTGTTCCCCACCATTAAAGGGTCACTCTCCCTACCATTTCAAAATTTAAACTGTTTCTTTCTACACTCTCTTGTAACTCTTCACATAGAAATTTGCTAGCCCTAGGAACTATTATGCCTCTAACCTCCCCCTCTATGTATTAGTTCTAGGTCATGTTATGAGATTCTATTTTGCATGCATTCAAAATGTGTTCAGCTCGTATGTGTGCTGGGTACAGCGCTATGTGTTAGGGATGCAAAGATAATAGGATAGAAATCTTTCTGTCAAAGAGCCTATGGTCTAATGGGAAAGACAGCCCTACCAATAAATGATTGCTATAGAATGTGATGTGATGCAATAAAGTATAAACAAAGTGTTATGGCAGCAAGAAAAGGAAATAACCCCCACTGCTTCATTTTAGTCTGGAAATTGTTTGTTTACTAGCCAGTTAATATAAGAAAAGAGCTTTTCCCAGTTCCTTACTTACCCATAACGGCTACTGATAATGATAATAATTGAAATTCATCACATACTCACTACCGACAAACAGCACAGTTAACACATTTTATATACATTCTTTCACTCCCTCCCTATTACCTCCATACTTATAGACCTATGCACCATTTTAGGCATTTTATTTGGTGTTTATAGAATACTCTCAATTTTACATGTGACAAATTTTAGAATACTTGCTCCCATGTTTTGTGGCAAAACAAACAAAACAAACAACTTACTAACATAAACTCTCTCTTTCTACACACACATACACACACACACACACACACACACACACACAAGCATATACATACATATATCCTGAATTCTCACAAGTTCATAATTATACTCTTATAATACTCTATCCATTTATATTTTTTAACTTACATAGTTGTGATTTAGGTAAAGATTTTAAATGACTCTGCGTTTAAAAAAATTTTTTTAATGTTTTGTTCTTGGGAGAGAGAGAGACAGAGCATGAGCGAGGGAGGGGCAGAGTGAGAGAGGGACACAGAATCCAAAGCAGACTCCATGCTCTGAGTTGTCAGCACAGAGCCTGACGTGGGGCTCAAACTCAGCGAGCCGTGAGATCATGACCTGAGCTGAAGTCGGATGCTCAACAGACTGAGCCACCCAGGCGCCCCTGACTATGCGTTTTATTCAATACATGAGTATCTACATCTACTGCGGAGATACGACATACACTTAAGTAGTTACTTATCTAGCCTCAAGTACTATTCAGTACCCATATGGATGTTCTGTAATATGTCCCATGCCTCCAGATGTTTTGAATGTCTGGCTGGGAACACATGGCTCCAAGAACACAGCCTGGTTTCTGGCTGGAAAGCCAAGCTCTATGATCAATAGAAATGACCATTCTCTAAGGAGTGGGTCCAGTCACTATGTCTTCCTGTATCCTGTGTGCAAGAGGGCAGCCTGCCTCAAAGGGCAGTCACCACTGGGAGCAAGTGCACCCCATTCCTCATCCCTGGACACCCTGGGTGGCCATGAATAGAAGGGAGCTAATCTCCTACAGTTCACATGCAAATCTTATTGCCATGTTGGTACTTGCCCTGCAAGTGAGAGAGGGGCCATGCAGGGACAGCTCAACTGTCAGATGGGACTTCAGAAGCCCACATTTTTGTCTAAAACGTATTTTTTGAGATCTTTTTTCAGTTTTTTTAAAAGTTTATTTATTTTGAGAGAACCAGCTACAGTGGGGAAGGGCAGAATGAGAGAGGGAGAGAGAGAATCCCAAGCAGGCTGCATGCTGTTAGCCACGAGCCTGACGTGGGGCTCAATCCCACAAACCATACGGTCATGACCCGAACTGAAACCAAGAGTTGGATGCTTAACCGACTGAGCCACTTAGGCACCCCTAGAACAGACATATTTTGTCACATGAAAAAAGAGGACTGAAAATGGAGAACTTTTCCTTCTACTTAACAAAGTGCTATGGGCGCACAAAAGAGGGACACACCATTCTGCCATGATTGTAGGGATCAATAGCTTTCTAGACAAATGGGGTCATTTAGTCATTTATTGAGTAAATCAATCAATTCAATGTCCTCAAAAATTGGAGTCTGCGGTACAAAGAGGAAAACTAGAATAAGAAGAAAAGAGACTGCTAAACAGAGATGTTAATCTCTCTTTGGCATACTTCCCTTGTCCCAGGTTCTTGTGGCCTTGGAGGCACTCCCATGGAAAATCTGCTCTTATTGTCAAGAATTTTACCTTACTTTTCAGTCGTCTATCACTGTTATCTTTCCTTGTTTCAGTTTGATTCCACAGTCTCCATCCTTTACAAATGCCGTTCCAGTTGGGATGAGTTTAAAAAAAATTTTTTTTAATATTTATTTATTTTTGAGAGAGAGAGAGAGAGAGAGAGCAAGCAGGGGAGGGGTAGAGAGAGGAGACACAGAATCCAAACCAGGCTCCAGGCTCTGAGCTGTTAGCACAGAGCCTGACGCAGGGCTTGAACTCACAGACTGCGAGATCATGACTTGAGCCAAAGTCAGATGCTTACTCGATTGAGGCACCCAGGCGCCCCGGGAGGGGTTTTAAAGTGCATAAACCATTTAACTTGTTATCTGGATGAGGAACCTGAGAAATAGTGCCATCCTTAAATCTCTGCCTCAATCGACCACTCGGTCGATTGGTTGCCTTTAGCGTTGTCAGAGATGGGTGAGATTACCCTTTATCTGAGGGCGGTAACCATTAGCTGTGGTGGAAAGACCCTCTGCGACGAGGCTGGACTGAATCAACAGCAGACAGCAGATGGCCATAAGACAAGAAGGGCTTTGAAGAAATTTCGGGTCACTGTTACTCCTTCTGCCCTTTTTTTCTAACCTAACCCAGAGAATTCCAAAAGGATTATTCCATAGGCCAAGGGTAAGATAGTAATCACAATGCCAATCTCTACCATATTTGAATATCCACGGTTGAGCCAGACCCTGCATTAGGAGCTGGGCAATCATATCTCATGTAAACCTGTGATTGATATGTCAATTTCCAAATTGGATCTCTGAGGCTCAAAGAATGTAT